TTTTTCTAATGTATGAAAGCACTTTTTCTTTCCCATCAGCTATATCAGAATTGTTTTTGTAAAATGTAACAGAATGTTCTAGCTTTTAAATATTTATATTAATCAAAGTTAGGGCTGTTTATATTTTTTGGCAATGGGGCTTTTCTTTAAAAGTGATGCACTTCCATTTAACTAAACAAAAGTGTTGAAATGACCTGTCATATAAACTTCAACATAGTACAGTTGGTTAGAGAAATTTGGAAAAAGGAAGAAAGGAGAGCTGGTTTCTAGGCTTCAGGTTAAACATGGATTAATAAAATGTGCAACACTGGTCATTTCCAAGATTTTCCTGAGGAAATGTCATTCATTGCCACTTATAAGCTATACAGTTACCTGGTTGAAAGGTTTGAGTTCAAGTTTCTGGCTCTGTTTTCTTGGGCATCGGTAAGACAAGTCTAAAAGCTGTCTAAAAAAATGACGAATCACCAAAGCTTGGAACTTATTACTAAATGCAATTCATTAAAAAAATCTCCTTTATATTTTATGTATTTCTAAACTATTTTAGTAGTGAAAAAATACCTTCATGTTATTTACTGTGATCTTCTATATTTGGGAGCAGAAACAGCTTGAACTAAAGCATTTTTCCAAGGTTCCAGATGCTGTTATGTTCTAATCTGTAGTTGGTTAATACAGAATTATACGGCATACCTAGACTTTCATGAAGAAAATAGAGTCTCTGCAAAGGACATTTAACCAGCAACTCAACTTGGGAGAAATTCATTCAGGTCATATATCATTCTTTTGTTGTTTAGACAATCCCAAATATTCTGGATGCTTAAAAAGACACAGCTTTAAGTAAGCTGATCCCCGGGGATGTCGTTTTCATTGGGTAGTTCTAACTATATTAATTCACTCCTCTGGAAAGTGTCCTAAACAGGAAGAGTCGGCCCAGAGCACTTAGTCTCCAACATGAAAATTATAAATGTTTTTGCTTTCAGGAAATGGTAAGCACCTATCAAACAAACAGGAAGTATTAGTACACATTACAGACAGAGGGTTAAAGGCCTCCTGTTCAACCTTTTGGCCTCTCCAGAATCCTTGATCCTTCGTTATTTTGCTTAACTTGATGTACGTTTTGACCAGTAGTTCACTCTGAGAAACAAGTCCTGACATCATTTTCAGAGGTGAAGTGGGATTATTATACTTGCTTTTTTATTTGGGGTTGGAAATGAGAAGTCCAGCAGTGGTTTCTGGTTAATATGTCACAGACTATGGTCTTCAAATTACCAGCTCAGGCAAATTCATTCCTTTGGCATCCAGAATTACTTCATTTTTAAACATTGGTTAAAAAACCAATGTACATACACACATGCATCCCAAACACACAAATGTATTTATGGCGGGGGGAGAGGGGGAATGTGCTATACTAGAAAGATGTAGATTCTTTTTAATTACCTCATTTTTAATATAAAGTGATGAGGGTAGAGGGAAAAAAAGGTCAGGGTATAATACACATAAAATTTAAATCTCTAAACTAATTTACTTTTTTTATTGTGCCAGAGAAAGCCAATGAAAATAAGCATGTATTCCATTATGTTATACCATTATGGATTATTATTAATATCTTGTTTCCAATTTTATGCAATTTTGGTATAATCCAAATCTATGCATTAGCCTGGGTAGGGGTTTTTGCTTGGGGTAATTGACATTATATAGTCCAAAGCACAGAAAGAAGAAAACATATCTATAATCTCTCCCCATTTCCAAACAGAGGGGGATAATGGGAGCAATTCTTCTATTGTGTGCCCTCCCTCTTCATGCCGTTTCCTTTGAAGTCAGAGGGAACTGGAGGAGCTGAAGCTGAGAATGTGGCTGGAGGAAAAGAATGAATATTATCAGGTCAGATTCTCATAACCAGGTTTTATGCCACATTAACCATTGAGTTTCCTATAATACCGAGGGTTGTTTTTTTTGTTTTGTTTTGTTTTGTTTTGTTTTTATCGTTTTTACCTTCTGGTTTATTCCCGGATCACTAGTACAATTTCTAACAATATACTGGGTATTTTTCTTAAGTATGATTATTTGAACTTCCTAAGGCTAAATCCACAACCCAGCTTCTGAAAAATATAACAGAATTTTTTTTTTTTTTTTAGAAAAAATGGAAAACTTAAAAAGCAATACTTTCTGTTTATATGGGTGTGTAGGTGAATCGGAAACAGTAGCCAATGACTGGTACCCAAAGTGACTACAAGGTAGTGGAATTGTGCATTTGGAGGTGGGGGGTTACTTACTGATAAAACAGTTGCCTCTAAGTTCTTTTTTTGCATATTTCCACTTTGAGGAGAGATAAAATGTAGATTTGCATTTATGTCATCTAGCTAAATTTCAGACTTGTTAATCCCCACTTGAAAGTTTATTTCTTAGCCTGTTTATTACAAATCACAGGGAGCATGAATGTGTGTGAATGCATAGGAGGTAAAGGTACATAAACTCATGCAATAGTGGACTGAAAGTATGGAAAGTCATTTCACTTAGATGAAGACACATCGTCCAAAGAAAGTCTTCAGTCTCCAAATCTCCAACAAGAGAAAAAAAGCCAAGCTCCTCATTCAGTTCATATGTGTGTGTGTGTGTATAGTCTCACAGTCTTTGAAAAATTGCAAGTTGTAGAAGGCAAGAGAAGAAAATCATATTAAATAAATACAAAACATATGACAAGCATCATAATACAGTTGTATACTTAGTGCTATGAGAACAGAGAGAAGAGAGTTATTAATTCTTTCTGGAGTTCAGAAAGAGTGCAATCAGTCGGTCAACAGCAGTTTCACCAAAAAAAAAAAAAAAATTGATCAATAAGCTGTGTCTTAAATTATAAACAGTATTCCCAACCAGAAGAGGAAGGAGTCATCCCAGGCAAAAGGAGTAGCATGGATTTCAACCAAAGTGAGTCTTATTCAGGGAATAAGAATTTGCCGAGTATGATTGTAGCACATGGTGTGCAGGCTGGATGGCAGGGGAAAAGTCTATCATAATTCTGTTCCAAATTGCAGCCCAATAAACAAAGCCTTGTATGTTATGCTAAGAAGTTGAGACTTCATCCAGGAAACAGTGGAAAGTCACCAAAATGTTTAAACAGGGGAGTAACATGATCAGAATTGTGTTTTGAAACTTAGCTGGCCTCAGTATAGAGGAAGGCTTGAAAATGAGAATCAAATAATGGCCATCAGTTAATGTTGAAAATTGAAAATGAATGAAAGCCTTTATTATGCTAATAAATTTAAAAGCGATTTCAGGTGGTGATTTTTCAAAAACTCCAATTGATACAACTTTTAATGTGCATGTTATCTGGTTTGGATCAGAGTGATATTGGTGGATAAAAGATTTTCCAGTAGAGTTAAGAGAAGATGGTGTCTTAAGGCAGAATTCTTAGAGGTAGAGTCTAAGATTGAAATTCTTCTAACAATGATTAATCAAGGTGTGCTCTCAGCAGAAGGGGAGTAAGAGAAGTAGAATAGGTCAAAGAAGAAAGCCAAGAAGGATGTGATCTTGGCTGGAAATTGTCTAGCTTAGCCCGGCTGCTTGGAGAGCTCTGAAACATAAATTATACCACAGGTTTAACCCCTTTGATCCTTCGAGAGGATAATTTTCTGGTGGTAATTCTCCAGCTAAAGGCAAATCTTTGGGAAGGGCACGTAGCCATGAGCTGTTAGCACCTGGGGGATGGGAGAGAAGCAACAAGAACCCCTGTAATCCATCCCTTGCACTGTCAGACCCACTTGCCTCTTACATTCTTTACTCCTTTCAGGCATAGATGTTCAGATCACTAGTCACATTTTCTGGGCTAATGTATAATAGACATTAGCATAACAAAGGAAAATTGTCCTCTGCTGCGGTTTGTCCCATGGCCATAACATAGTCGCCATCCCCTCCAACTTCACCCTTCTCAACACTCCTCCTAAGGACTAGTATAATACTTCAGTGAGACTGGCTGGCTTGGCTGGAAGGGAAAAGCAGATTTTCCTCTCCAAGGTAACTGAAAACCTGATTGCCATTTCCTATTGCACATTTCAGTTAAATAAGACATGGGAACACCAAAATCCCCCCCAGCAGATCACCTGAGTGACATATGCATGATTCCCTTCCTTCAGTATGTGGAAGCAATGCTGCCTTCTCATGATAATCAGATCAGTTTCCCTGTCAACGTAGTAACTCTTATGCCAACTCCTCTACTGTCATGAGGAGCCCAAAGTAATCTGGATGTAAGTTTAAATTTACTGAGACTTTTACTATATTCCCTGATGGCAGTTTCCCTCTTCTGGAATCGAGAATTTCTAGACTTACTAAACCAAAGATTGCAGGGTGAGTCATGGGGAGTGATGGTGAGTGGCATCCAATCTTATGTCCACTCTCTGATTCTTGGACTTATTTTTCTACCTATTATGGATTAAAATTCATATAATATTCATTGGTTGAAATGGTATACTATACCCTGAAAGATTATATCCATCCTGTCAGGGTGTCATCTCTAAACAGGTGCTTTTAGCTGTGCCAGAATGTGGTAGGACCAGTGAATCCCACAGTCATGTGCCAGCTGCCATGCCTCCTTTGCCATAAAATGAGTGCTTTGGTGCAATTAACATGATTGCATAATGGCACTAATCTATGAAATTTCTGTCAGTATGTGATTATTGATTTTGATTTGCTAACATAGCCAGAATGATAGTTTTAAGCATTTCTGCTTGCATTAGCCTCTACTAATACAATAGCTAGTCAAGAAAACAATGGTAGAAGTCTACCAGTCTTTAATAGGTCCATTCCAATCCTACATGCAAAGACAGGTAAATGAGCACTGAGCAAGTATATGAAGCCTATAGAATGATGGCGAAAAGAATTTGCTTTAACAGGGGCCCCATGATAATGTTATCAACATTAACTCCTATATTGTACCTAACAGTCCCAGAGAGATCTGAGTTTACCCTTTTCCTCAGTGTACAGTTTCCTGAGTAAAGAACTCTTGCCCTTTCAGGGAAGGACCGGGTATTGACCTGCTTGCTGTAATGTTGCTGTTCCTTTCTGATGAGTACCTGGCTCAGTCAATGGATTCTGGATCTGATAACTGGCTTGGGTCTAAAGACAGAGCAAAAGATTAATTAAGACTTTTCATTGAGTTATTTGACCTTAGCCTTTTTGTCATCTATTTTTTAAATCTCTTTGATTGTATGTATGAATAATACGCTTGGTATCTTACTCATCTATCTTGCCATTATACTTGGTAGCCATTTCCATGGAAACTTTGGAAAAGACTCCAATCCCACCTACAGAATTGCCATTCCAAGTTTATGTTCCTTTGTGGTAATTTCACCCACCACCTTGATTCTGACAGTTAAGTGCTGACTGTAGCCTCTGTTAATTTGGAATACTATCATCCCCGGTGCTACAGTGGAGTCCAGCCTTCTAACAGCGTCTACTTTCCCTCATCTAGAAGGACTATGACTCTCCACAGTTGAAATCACCTCATTTGCAGATTCCTTACCATGTTGATAAACAGAATGTCCTTTAAGCCCTCCTAAGGAATATAGTCAAATATGGATTTTTTTCCAGACTAACCCATTTTCTCTATGTCCATTTTATATTTTTATCCTTAACCCATGATAACACAGTTCAGATCTGTGCTTTTCATGTTGACCATCACTTTTTCCAAGAGAGCTATCCTGGTTTTATATTAGACCTGTCACTCAGGGCCATGCTAGGATGTTAATTCTGTGACAAAACAGAGTAATTCTCTATTAGCATACTGTCCCTTATATAGCTTTATATTGTGTACACATTGTTCAAGGCCTTTAAGAGTCACTCCCAGACATACTCTTTTGGGACATATGTCAGCTAGCTCCTAGCACTCCTTTCATAGATAACTTACATCCTCCCTTAGTAATGTGGCCCAAATTTTCAGTCTGAATCCTGTAAAGGTACAGGCAGATTCTAAGAATTGTTTTGTAAGGAACTTACCTCATTTGAGACTTCTATATAGTCTTCAAGAAAGAGGTTCTCTCTCCCAACAAGAGAGAAGGGGCTCACTTGTATGAGCCTAAAGTTTTCAGAGGAATATTTAGCAGACTTAAGGTTCTCAAGTGCCCAGCTATCACTATCCCACATCGCAAGAACCTACTCCCTTTCTTCCAGTGCCCTGGATTTGACTTAAGAGACTTGTCTAGGCTGAGGATTTAGCTTTCTTTAAATTTATGCCACTTTTACAATTACTGCTTTAGACTGATGTTCAAATCTGGCTGTGCTCTAGCTAAGAAATAAGTCTCTGTAACTGCAGCTAATGGATCTTTCTATCTCTCACAGTTGCTTTAAGTTCTAGGTAATACATCTTAGTGGCAGAGAGACTCTAAGATGACATCCAATGAGCCCTGCCTCCTAGCATTCACATCATTGCATAATCCATTCCCTTGAGTATGAAATAGACTTGTAATTTGATTTTAACCAATTCAGTATGCACAGATGATAGGAGATTACTTCCATGATTAGACTTCTTAAGATTGTCACTTCCTTCTTGCTAGCAAAATCCTTCTTGATGACTTGGATAAATATTTACTGTATTGGGGGGGGTCCTTATGGTAAAGAAGTTAAGAAAAGGCTGCAGCCAATGGTTCACAATGAACTGAATCCTGTTAATTAAAAGTGGAGACTTCCCCAGTCAAGCCTTCAGGTGAGACCCAGCCCTAAATGATACATGATTGCAGCCTTTTAAAAGATCCTACAGCAGAGGATGGTCCCCAGACTCATGACCAATGAAAATAAGGAGACAAGTATGTGTTGTTTTAAGCTACTACACTTGTGATAATTTGTGACACACCAGTGATAACTAATGGAGCATTTTGTTTTCTCTCTTCAATGCATCAATGATACTTGATAATAGTCACACAAATCCACAGTCCTTATAGTTACAATTTCCCCATACCTCTCAAAACCAGAAACATTGCACAGTTAAGTACCTTTCCTATCTGCATTCCAACCCAGTTTATTTATGCCATGCATAAACATTTTAGCCTGGAGTTGGTAAACTTTTTCTGTAAAGGACCAGATAGTAAATATTTTAGGCTTTGTTGTTCAATTGATAAATGTCTCAAATGCTTAGCTCTGTTTGACAATACATAAATGAATATGTTCCGTAAAATTTTGTTTTCAAAAAGCAGTGAGCTGAATTTGACCTACAAGCTATTCTTTGATGACCTCAGTCTTAAAAATCTCTGTGGTGTAGAATGCCAGAGATTAACAGTATTATACCTGCCACTAGTGACCGGGACTTCATTACAGAGCTTCCAAAATACCATCTCATATTCTGCTTCTCAGGACCACTTCCAGTACCATCCATCTTGGCTTGGCTTCTCTAAAAGCAGAACCTAAGGGGAAGCATCATAAGAACGATTTATTGAAGGAGTGCTCTTAGGATAAATGGGATGGAGGAAACAAAAGAGGGCAAAGGAAGAAGCTAAGCAACAACGCTTACTCAGCTAAAAACTGTGAAAGCCTGGTCCCATGGACGCTCTGGAGCACCAGGGTTCAGTGCACTCCTGCAGTAAGAAGAGGACTGGAGAAGGATACCTTTTATATTCCTTACATGAGTTAATAATTGGCTGCTGGCTTACCCTACTTGGGGAGCATTCCAAGCAAACTAGTGCTCTTTTCAGAAGGAGACAGCTGCAAGCTGTTTAACACTCACAGTAGCTAGAGTATGGGGTATCTCTATTCTTCCTCTGGAGAAACCCCTTTTCCCCAATTAAACTTTGGATAACAGTTTGCAAGCATTTTCAATAATTTCTCAGGGATAGAAATAGGGTGATTAAAATAAAAAGGATATTAATGATGCCAAAATGATACAAAATAATGTGTTAATTTTTGTTATATACTTTATAGGTGTTGGTGAGGATAATTTTCCTTAATTTATCATAAGGAGAATCAACATGGTCAAAGAGGACAAAATTGAATGACAGTTTGAGAACAATTAAGGGAAACGTAAAGGGGAAAAATTAATCTTCACATGAAGATGTGAAGAGAATGCTACAAAGTTGTCCTATCATTGGATGCTCACTATTACATAGCACAAAAGTAATCACTCCCTGTTTCTGTTTCCATCCCATCCTACCCCACACTAGTGTTAAAAGTTACTAAATTTTGGCCTCCAAACTGGTGGTGCAGGGGTTGAGTCACAGCGCTATCAAGCTATCCCCAGCCACTGCAGCAGGAGTTCTATCCCCAGGCAGGGAGGTGACCCACATGGTGTAGCAGGCCTGCTACTCGCCTCAGCAGTGTGTTTCAGTACATCTGCCTATTCTGCTCCCCACTCTGTCTCTAGTGAATCCTTTCACACACACCCCCAATACCTCTGGTCTACACCTCAGTTCTTATATGCATAAATAAATTTAAAAAAAGTCATTAAATTTTTGTGCCTTAGTTTCCTATCTGTAAAATGGTGTTAATGCTAATACCAACTTCATAAGGTCACTCTGGGAATTAATACACAAAAGTGTTTATAAGAGTTTTTGGTATGGAAATACATTTAGTAAATGATAGCTTTATTATTGCTATTTGTGGCATTACATTTATTGTGATCACTAACTTAACTATAGTTATATTTAAATGTAACTTTTTTAGTACACGTCAGGGGTTCCAATTCCTTTTAGTTCTGTACTTCATTCACAGTGCTAGAAAATAGAATTATATGAATGTGCTTTTTAAGCAAGAATCCAAGTCTCCTTCCTAGGCACGAAAGAAATACTGTAAGACCTGTATTCTTGAGTCTCTGCTATAGACAAAACTTTGGAAGTGTACTTATGCTTCTAAGCAAATATTATAATTTTTTTTTACTCTATTCACATCTGAGATAGTTATTCTTTGGTAATGAAACTTCAAGAGCCTCCAGTTTTTGATAAGATAAAATCATGCCTTCATTTTGTGAAGTTTGTTGGCTAATTGAGTCTTCACATAGTTAGAATATTCTACACATTTTCGTAAGCAGATTTGCAACTATGTATATAGAAACACTTAAGTAAGGATTATTGTTCATTTTATATTTGTGTACAGTGCTCAAGAAATTCTATATTTCCAACTTTTAGATCTATTTCAAATATTTTGAATTTATAGTAATGCTCAGAGTACAAGATTTCTTATATTGGGCCCACATGAAATATATCTAATCCTCATCATCTGTCTAGCATTTCTACTTTTCTTCATCTTTATAAATCACTGCTCAATAAACAAGGAAATAAGAACCAAGTAACCAGGGAGATTTGGAAGAAAGATCACAATTATTCAACAAGTGAAACATCTGGAAAGGGATCATGGCCTCATTATCTTTCAAAAAATAGTTAATGAAACTCTTCTTTTAGTTCACTGAAGAATTGTAAGTGGAAGTGCTTCATCAAACATTAACTAAGAAAATGTATGCCAATGCTTTGGATAAGTCAAGTTGTCATTCTGCTCCATAAATATTTATTCTGCAGATGGTTTTTAAACCTACCAGCTTCCTTTTTATAAGAAAAAGTTAAGTTGGTATATTTATTTTAGATTATATTACAGAACTTTTCAACAGTTGGGATTTTTAAAAACATTTATTCAATTTCTTTTCCTATTTAAAATCAGTCACTTGAACAAATCACAACGTAGCACGAATTCTAATACTTATCAGGTGAAGGCTTGATCTCACCTATTATGTTTTTTCCTGGGCAATGTAAAAAAAAAAAAAAACTGCTTTTAAAATTAGAAAACTTTTTCAACCCTAATCTTCAGAAAGAAAATATTTAAAATCAATAAGGCAGTGGACAGCAAACAGTTTTTGAAAGAAAATTAAACTAGAGAAATAAACTATTTTCAACCCAAATATGATTATGCCATCTAGTTTTAAAACTCAGTCTTTTCATAAGGACTTAAGTAGACTGTACCAAAGAATAACCAGTGTCATGCAAACCAGCACCCACTTAAATATCAACAAACTGCATTGTCTCTTTAATTCAATCACCAAATACTTATTGAGACAGAGTAAATGACAGGAGCTGTGACAGGTGCTAAGAATGCAAAAACGAAGTGGTTACTGCCTTCAGGGAACTCATAGTCTAATGCAGGCGACAGTCTCTTTGGCAACTATCCGTAATCCAGTATGACAAGTGCTGTACCAGCAGCCTCAGCTAAGTATTATGGGAGCAGAAAAAAAAAAAAAAAAAAACAAGTGACAGCCTAAATATAGTTTAAAATTGAGTAATGCAATGAGAACTTTTTAAGAGCCAAGGATCACAAAGAAAGTCAGTCAGTACATGAATGAAGATTGGCAAAAGCTTTTGTGGGAACAAATAGAGAGGAAATTTCTTAACTGTAACCTCCCAGGAAAAACAAGAATAAAAACATTCAGAGAACCACAAGATTGTGAGCAATGTGCCAACTTAAAAGTTCAAGAATATTTTGATGGAACCTATGTTGTGATTCTAATTACAGACCTCATTCCGGTTCCATGTAACTGTAGCAAATGTGCTAAATTTCACTAAAATCGTTAACAATTACAAACAATCATTATTTCCACATAGCGATCAACCACATGCTACAACTAAATTTTCACTGTGGTGTATTCAGTTCTGAGGCATATGTGGTCAAAATTGATTAATATCTAATAAAATTATGGTGTGACAAAAACTGAAGTCCTCAGCTCTTCATTCAGTTAATAAAACTCATTTAGTCAGCAAGATATAATTACATAAGCTTGAAATATGAATGTATTGCTTTAGTATTTGCTTTCATATTTCCTTGGGCTGTTAAATATATTACCACTCACAGTTCTTTACCTGTATTATCCTCTTCTCCCCCATTTTATTTCCAGAATGCATAGATTTTACTTTTTCCCCCCTAGTGTTCTGAGCAAGTTACTTAAAGAATATTAAGCAACAAAAACCTCTACCTTGACAAACTTTTTTCCTGAAAAATATCCCACACACTTGTTTTTATTTGGGAGTTAACACACAGGTTTAATTCTTTGCCTCCATATTGAACTTGCCTTTTTGGCAGAAAGGGGAGACTCTTAAGTACACGTCTGCTTCTTAAACTCTTATTTGTCCCCCACCTGTCTGATTTGGGTCAGTGGAATGATTTTGCCTTATCCTTCTGAATATTTGAATGACATGATTAACTTTTAAAGCACTTTATAAAATAGAGATTTAAATACAACCCCTGCCCTGTGAATTTATAATGTAATGAAAAGGCACCTTCCAAACAAAGAAAAGACAGAAAGATATTCTTCCCCCAAGGAGTAAGTGACAATAGGGAAAAGCCTTTGTCTTTGACATCTGTCATTTTGGGGAGAGAGTTATGTAGGTGTTGGGTGGTATTACAGTAGTAGTTGAAAAGTTCTCTTCATCCTAGGGTGCTAATTCTCTACCCTTTGTCAGTAGTTTGCTCTCTTAACATTATTATTTTCAGATAGTTTTCCCTTTAACCCACATCTGAAGAATTATATTTGTAAATATTTTACATGCGTGCATAAAAGTTGAAAGCATACGATATCAACAGCAATAATAATGATTAAAATATGTGAATTTATTTAGTGTTTCACCATTTTTAAAGCACTTGTACATAAATTATCTCATTTGAGTCACACAATCACCACATGGACAAGTATTATTGTTTTCACTCTACACATAAAAGACTTGAATACTTGGAGTGTGTTCTCCCAGAAGCTTATACTTGTACTTTCAAGTGCAAGTATATTATTTCAGACCTGATCCCAGGAAACACAGACAGGTTGTGAGGAATGAGAGAAGGAATGCAAGGAGGCCAATAAAAAGTGCATTTTTAAAGCAGTTTCCATTTTGGCAACTGGAGCTCAGTCCTGTTGCTGGTACTTTGAGGTACTATGAAACATGGGACAAAACTCAGTCCACTGTTAGCCCAACTAAGGGGAAAGAAGCTAGGAATTTCCAGCTTGCTTTAATTGTGAACTGAACACATTCTCAGAGAGAAAAAAATAAATAAATATATCCACCCATATATATGTATATGTCCTTATCCCCAGAGTCACAGATATTCACAGGAAGCAGTCTTTGGGTACAGAGGTCAGTACTGAGGGAAAAAGGTTGGGGCAGGACAGAGGCTAGCCAATCTCAGCAAGGTTAAGATTTATCAATCCAAAAATCACACAGTGAGGATGGGCAAAGCCAGGGAAGGAAGTAGGCCCTGACTGTGTGGGTAGATTTCCTGATACCATAAAATAGATGGCATTCCTTGTGTTCAAAGTAGCAGAGAGTATAAAGAAGACAGCATATACTAAATCATGAAAAAGTCTTCTTTCAAAAGATTTTACAGAAATTGAAAATTTATTCTGTACATATAATAAAGTTATTCAAAGGCTTAGTTTTTATAG